CAGAAGGTTGTCTTGGGAACATCTTCCTCTAGCACTCATAATTGGTGATATCCAGATCGTAGATCTATATTTGATAAGTAGCTCGCTCCTTGGAGTTGATCAAATAGATCGTCAATGCGGGGCAGAGGGTAACGATTTTTGATAGTAAGTTTGTTCAGCTCTCGGTAGTCGATGCACAAACGGAACAATCCGTCTTTCTTCATTAAGCTAACTGGAAAGTTCTTGCATCTCTGCTGGTGTCAGGCGATAAGGCAATTTTGCTACTGGGGTAGCCCCTAGAACTAAATCGATTATGAACTCAACTTGGCGTTGTGGTGGTAATCCCGGTAGTTCTTCTGTAAAGATATCGGGGAAGTCACGTACTTCTGGAATGCTGTTAATATCCTTTACTTCCCGACTTGTATCGACGATGTGTGCAAGAAATGCATGATAATCCTTCCGCAAACACTTTCGAGCTTGGATGCACGAAATGATGCGAAGGTTTGTACTTGATTTGTTGCTGTAAATCACTAATGTTTCATCGTTAGGGAGATTTAGACGAACGGATTTTTCAAAGCACATGATGTCGGCATGAAGCAGACTTAACCAATCCATGCCAACTATGACGTCGAAACTTTTAATTTGGACTGGCATGAGGTTGATTGGGAAGGAGTGACCGTCTAAAGTTAATGTACAACTCATGTATATGCAGTTAGTGTTTTCCGTTTTTCAATTTGCCATTTCTACAGTGAATGATTCTTCTAACATGCTAGGTTTATGTTTATGTAAGTGAATAAAGTTTTGGCTCACAAAGCTTCTCTCTGCTCCACTATCGAATAGTATGCATGCATATGAATTATCGAGAAGAAACGTACCAGAAACTACTGTAGGATCAGCTTTGGCTTCTTCTTGACCAATAGCCAAAACTCGTCCCACTCCGCTGGTATTCGCTGCCTTTGGGCAGTTTCTTTTGTAGTGGCCCACCTGCCACAACCGTAGCATGCTTGGCCTACACCAGCATTGGGAACTTGAGTGATCGGCTTTATGGGGGCCTTGCAGAAACGGATAGTGTGTCCCTTTCTATTGTAGTTGGAGCACTGCGTTTCCCGACAAGGTCCATTGTGGTGGTAATTGCATTTGGAACACTTTGGGAGGTTGCCCACATAAGGCTTTGTTGGGTAGATATTTGTAGGAACGGTAGTAGGTACAGTAGCAGCATTTACTGTAACCAGTTGTTGTTTCTTCGAGGATTCTTGGAAGACCCACCCTTCCCCTTATTCCACCCTCTCTTCTTGTTATTGTTGTTGTTGTTGTTTCCCTTTTGTGGTTCTGGTGCAGAAAGTGTTGAGTTTTGATGATTTTCGTGATCAATAAGCGATTGTGCCAGCTCTTTGGCACTTTCAAAAGTGTCAGGTTTTGAAGCTAACACGCTTGACTGAATTTTGGGTGACAGTCCCCAAATGTATCTCTCTATTTTCTTGCTCTCAGGAGCAATCATATATGGGCAAAGGATTGCTAGATCGCAGAATCTGTTGGTATAAGTTTCTATGTCGGTACCAATCATTCCAAGAGTCCAGAGTTCGTGCTCGAGTTTTTGAATCTCTCCTCGTGGACAATACTCCCTCATCAGCATGATTTTTAAGCTCTCCCAGCTTATTGAATTCACTACTATCAGAGTAAGTACCTTAACGTGGCCATTCCACCAAGTTAAAGCCATATCAGTAAGTGTGTACATTGCAAACTTGACTTTGTTGTGCTCGGGGCAGGAGCAGATTTCAAAGACTGATTCCGTCCTTTCAATCCACTTCCTTAAAATCATCACACCACCCGTTCCATTAAACACCCTGGGTTTAGCATTCGTAAATTCTTTATAGGAGCACTCTCGGGGTTCCCCATGTCTATCGCCATGGTTAGAAGGATGTATACCAATTCCTGAACCAGTAGTAATAGGGGTATTGATCTATAACATGGCAGCCGCCACAGCTGCGGCGACTGCTGCCTGGAACATGACAACATCAAATTGAGGAGGTGGAGGTGGTGGTGTTATCGGTGCTTCCCCACCGTTGTTTCGTCTCAGATTTCTACGCGGAGGCATCCTTCAATTGAAAGATTGAAAAGACAAGGGTAAGAAGGCCATAGTATAGAAAATGAATGTGTCTCATGAACTAAATCGCTATAGTTCAACAACAAATGATAGTATGAGTCTTAAAGATAGAAGAACGAAGGTTAATAGTAAATCCGAATATATGAACAAGCGTATGGTTTTTTTCCATAATATTTTAAATATTGAACGAAATACTCAACGTAGTAATAATAGTGTGCAAATTATATTAATATAATAGATGATACAACGATCACGAAAATTTGACCCTTAAAAGGGTCTCCGGTTACAAGATTTTTAAGAAAGTAAAAACTTTTAGCCGAGGTCCAAACTTATAACACAATTTGAGGTTTTCGCAAGTACTACTTGCGACATGTGATGCGCTTGGAGCTTGACTCCGCATCCGATTGCTTTGATTCCATAAGACGCCTATCTAAGGCGGCATGCTGTTCCCTCAACTCTGCGAGGGCTACATTCATTTGTGATTGGAATGCGTCAGCGCGGAGGTGGGTGTCATCCTGCAACATATCCAAACGACAGATGTCGGCCGTGTGAACTTGTACTTCCACGTTTACTTCGCGGATTCGATTTTCTTGGACCCCGATTGATAGGACTGGTTGGCCAGTTTACCTACCATGACCGGAAGTGCTCGGTCGGCTGAACCTCCGTCCCTGACGTCATAGAAGTTTCGACACATACCGTAGGAGAGCCTATCCCTTGTTGTTGGCTCCAATGGTGGAGGTGACTTCCCTAAACAGGAGTTGGTCCCTGGAAGTTCCTCCTAATGGCTAGAGGATCGACTACTTCTGGTTCTGATTCTGTACCAGAGTTATCCCCTTCTTCCAACTCGATAGGTTCTTCATCCTCCTCAGGATCCTCATCTACCCATCCTCCATTGCCCTGGTTCGGGTAATAGGGGTCCCCTTGTGGGTGAAATCCATCCATTTGACTATATGAGAATAGGGTTATAAGATTTGAACAAAACTTGAAAACATGTAGCACTAATTAATCTATTGTATGCACCAAATACTCCTATAGTATTTAAATTGTACGTTTGATACCAGTATCCATTTTGGTAAGTTTGACTTGTTGCTCACTACGATCATTCCTCGATATACGTTAGTCTAATCTCGGATAAATATAGTTGATCAGGCTATATTTGTCCCAAATTTGATTACATATCTCGAGAACTAATCGTAGTGTCCAACTCGTCTTAATACTTTTTGTATAGTTCTCATCATGAAAATATGTCGTTGTATGCATGTATTTTGTATTTTCATGACCTAAAGTAATTTATTTAAATGAAATAAGGATTTTAGGTGTGAAAACCTTTTGTCAGAGACTTTGAGTCCCTAAGCATTTATAGTTTGTATATCTTATGATGTTCGATATACTTAGTTCACTATAAACATTGCTCTGATACCAATCTGTCACACCCCCAAACCGGAACGGTGGAAACGTTCGAGGGCAGATGACTTCATGTGGTAACGTAACAAATGAATACATAGTAAAGAAAGCAACACATCCATCATATATATAATTGAAAGTTTACATTGTTTAAAAGAGTACATGTTCAAAACCAATTAAAATATAATGCCAAAAATATGAATTTAAACTGACGCCGCAACGTTCCTTCTGCAAAAAGTTGTTTGGTACCTGCAATTACTGAGTCTCTGGGACATACAAGTAGTTTTGAAAGAGTAGATTAGCATTTAAGTTGGTGAGTTTCATAAGTATTTAAATGATAGTATTTGTATGAACTAAAATGAAATGGTTTGTTTTTGTTTGTTAATTCTAGAAAATCCCATATTTCCTACTAGTATAAATGTAGCCTTAAATCAAAACCAATGTTTTAGAAAGTTGATGTTTTCCCATCTGTGAGTAGTGGTTTAGAAGTTCTAAACTTGTATCACAATTAGGTTTCATGCCTAAAGTAGTTAAGTTATGTACGTATAAAACCTTTAATGCGTCTTAAAAACCCCGTAAATCAATGTGTTTGTAATACTCTATGTGAGTTTTATAACCATGCTATTGACTAGAAATGTCTATACACAACGTTCTTCAGGCGTTGGAATGTTCTCACGTTTGTCACCCCAAATGGTGTATTGTAGCTAACAGTTAGGGTGCGGGGTTGTCAATCCCGTATAGATCTATACACAAACACCATGCTCCCCCTCTAAGGGATTCTGGTATATAATACACGAATTGAAATGCATACTCGAGCGTATGTGAAGTTTAATGTCTCACAAAACTTAGTATAAAACAGATTTACACGTGAAAATGTTCGTTTGTTCTTGTATATGAAAAGTAACTATTGAAATAGTATATCCAATATGTAAAAGTTCATAGTGTTCTCGTTAAAACTATACCTATTATAGTTTTCTAAAAGTGTGTTTCGTTTTGTATAGTAATCCCTAGTGGAATGCTCACTTGTTACGAAAGTTTAATTTTTGTAGTGCCAAAACTGACACAATATAATACAGTATAAGCAGAGTGTTTGATTTACTAAAATACATAAAATCGTTTCTTATTTTAAAAGATAAGATTTATCGAGTGTATAATTTGCATATGAAAGTTTCCCTATAATAGTTATAAATCACATATGATTCCATTATAAAAGCGTATAATGAAACTTTATATAACACACGATAATAATCGAGTGTTTTACTTGTATTTCCCCCCTTAAAAGCATATAAAAAGTATTTATAAAACATTTAAAAGGTGTGGATGTAAGGTTATGAACTCACTTGAAAGATCGAAGAAGGCAAGATGAAAATCGGACAGAATTTCGACTCGAGAAAGCGGATTTTCTCGGGATTCTCGAATCTCGGGAGCACAAACGACCCTTCGGGACTTGAGCAAGGTAACCGAGACTTCGGGATAGCACGTGCACGGAAAACGAGGCAAAAACGCAAGAAAGATGAGAGGAAATGGCTCCTTTCTTCGGAACCCTCGCATCCCTTTTATAGGGGTGGGAACCGCCTCCGTACGCGGGGCGTACTCGTGCGTCACACATGAGCGCATCCTCGACTGCTTCGGACTCCGAATGGCGACGGGACATAGGCTCGCATAGGGCGCGACGTGGACGATCCAAGGCCTAGGCCTTGAGTACGCTGGGC